AAGATTGTGAACCTTGATTCCTGCAATTTCACCAGGCATTTCATCCACAACAGTAACCTTATAGCCACGATGTTGACCCCACATTTTATACATCACCATGACCATGGATGCCCAGTCCATGCTCTCAGTACCGCCAGCTCCTGCTTGAACCTACATTGGGTACAAATCATCAAGGTATGGGAGGTTCACATACCACCACAACTATGTACGCAGTCATTAAACTAGTAGCACCATCAATGCCAAACCAAAAACAAGGCGAATAATGTAGTGGGAAACGAAAATTTTATATAGACAATCAACTTTAGTGAGCAGAAGGGATCTTAAGAATAAACATAATAAACTGAGAGGCCGAAATTATACCTCTATGTAACATGGGCAAGGATCATGTTCCCCAGCTAACATAGCTTCTAGCTCTTTCTCTTTTGAGATTCTTCTCATTTGAAGCAAAGCTTTCAGTGCTTCCTGAAAAAAGGGAGAAGACAACAAAATGATATTCTTAACAATAATAGGCCTGGAATTGGTACTTACACAGCAAAGGAAAAACTTGTAATTCCATGATAAGGATTCAAAGAAGTTGCTGACTTTTACAATGTTATAGTAAGAAGAAAGCTGGATATGGAAGCAATTTATTCTGTCCACAGCAATTTGGCAATACAACAATTCTCATAACCTTTTAGAAGTTTAGATACATGCATGTCATTAACCTTTTAACTCAGAGCAACAAAGCTACTCCGTGACTACGGATATTCACAATTACACGACACAAGAGCAAAATCTTACTTTCATTCTACGATGCTTCATAGAAAATTAATCAACAAGAAACAGGAAGTAAAACATCATGTTGCTGCAGATTTGTATAACTGAGACAACAAAAATCATAAAGAGAGCAAATACATGCCTAGAAAAAGATACGAGAGCCCACCGATTCCAACTCTGCATCATCTTCTTCACGAGCAAGCTTAATCATGTCTATATGCTCGAGCAATTCTCGCTCAAACGCCTTGACCCCTTTCATTTTACCCATAAGCGAGCCATGCTCACGGCTTACCCTCCCTGCATGCACAGGATCATTCCAAATATCCGGCTTATTCAGCTCTGCCGTTAGCAGATCCAACCTTACCAGCAACTTCTTCCACTGCCACCATCAACATTAAGTTATACTTCTCATCAAGCAAAAATAGACCATAAACCAGACCAAAACTCATTTCGACATATATAAAATGCAACTTTATGCATCAGACTACTTTCTAACCAATCACATATTCACAAGCCAATTCTAAGACCAACAGATTAATACTCAGGAACCCACACAACTTGACATAGAAGTTCACCATCCATCAAATTTAGCTTTTTCATTGTAATGAGTCGAAATAACCAAGAGAATTTCATGGTAAGGCATTCCCTGCTAGTAAGATACATTTCTCAACAGTAAGTTTTGTCAATTTATCATACTTTTTTTAAGAAAAATGGGATTCAACCTGACGGGTTGAGTCCTAGGTGGGGCCGGCTCCATGTGGGAGACCCGGATTCAGCCCCATCGGATTGAGCACAAGTGCTCTTTTTTTAATCCGATATGATTCTCATGCGATGTGACGGTTCATAACTTTATCTTACCGGTAGAGTTCACCATAGAATTCTCCAAATAACTAAAGTAGTATGAAAATACCAAGACCAAAAACACTAAAGTAGTATGAAAATAAGCAACAAGATTATACATTTACACTAGCAAATGAAGCTTACAAAGAACAGAATTCCAATAACCAATAATCATGAATTAATTATCAAGAAAGTTACGAATTAACTACAATTTAATCACGATTAACCTAAAAACTAAGCAATTAAATTACCTGCATCCGTTTCTTGATGACATGAATGGATTGGGCAACAGCAGCGGCGTGACTCTTCCAATCCTTCTCGCTCTCGTCGAGAATGGTCCACCCACTAGCGATGATTCTCTCCACGGTGAGCCCGTCCGAGGTCGAGGGTTCCACGGCCGTCTGAGAACCAAAGAAACGAGACCATTGTGGATCAAAACGACGGCAAAAAACACTAGTCGTTGAAGAAGCTACGCGTTTTAATGCTTTGAGGAGAAATTCAGAGACCGTGGAATTGGAAAACTCGTGATTTCGGATTGAATTTGGAGAGTTGTGAGGAACTGAAAAATTTTGGTTTTCCGATTGAAAAGTAGGAAGATTAAGGTGTTGGGTTATGGCTGTGGGATTGAGAAACCAGAGG